CAAAATCACGAGTTGTTTTAGCGACAACGCGGTGAGAATCGGTGGTTTTCTTTTAGTAAAATCACATGTTTTTTTCAAAATTGCGGCAATTTTTAAAAAAAAGAGCACTGGGAGAAAAAGGCCCTTGGCTCCAAAATCCAGACTCTTAAACAATTAGACAAAAAAAAAAAAAACTCTTGATTTGATAGGGTTTCTGCTAGAATCAAAAGGAAATCCGCTTACATTAAGAGCAAAAAGGATACCTTTTATACAAACCAAGGAAAAGTAGACTTGTCGCCTTACGATTTAAGCGGAAATCCACGTGAATCAAGAGTATATTTTTCTTGTCAAATTCTCTAAGAGTCTGGACTTAGGATCCAAGAGGTTTTCTTCCAGTCAGCCATAGAAATAAGGTCATCACTTTGAAATTTCTGAGGTATAAAGCGTTTTAAAAGTCAGAGGGCCAAGAAGATTCAACATCATTACCATCGATTTCAAAACATATTTTAGAGACCCGGCATTGCTTCTTCGTCACAACGTGTGTAATGTAACTTTAAAATATCATGGCTGCAGTTCGGTTTAATGTTATCGCGCGTTTTATCGTCACCTTCCAGCCAAAGTATCACAAGCGCCATGCGACATTCCAAAATTTCCGCCGCCATTTTATTTTTTTACAGAGAAATTGCTGGTTGAATCTGTTTGAAAGTTCCACTGAATTTTATTGGTAGCACAGCGAAAATTCAGCGAAATTTTCAGACAGCTTCGTTGAACAATTTCTCGGTGAAAAAATCAAATGGCAGCGGAAATTTTTAAACGTCAAAAATGGCGCTTGTGACTTTTTGACCGGAAGGTGACGTCAAAAATGTTTAGAGAACACTCCTCGACATTCGGAAACGAATTTTTAAGGTGATTCCATGGACGCCATATTTTGTGTCTGAACGGCATGCGATATATCGCATCGATTGGTTCCATTTTTTCAGTTACTCGTCATTTTTCTCCAATTTTGAGATCGCAATTCTGTTGTCAGGAGACTAAATCACTCACTTACCAATTTTAACAAATAAATTCAACGTATTAAAGGCGTGGTTTTTTCAGAGAGAAAACATCGCATTCGGGTGCAGTTTCGATATCAGTATCGGATGCGATGTTTTCTCTCTGAAGAAACCACGCCTTTATTACGTTGAATTTCTTTGTTAAAATTGGTAAGTGAGTGCTTTAGTCTCCCGACAATAGAATTGCGATCTCAAAATTGGAGAAAAACGACGAGTGGCTGAAAAAATGGAACCAATTGATGCGATACATCGCATGCCGTTCTGACACAAAATATGGCGTCCATCGAATCACCTTAAGTTTTCGTGTACTAGGGCCTTTTTTCCCACGTATGGTTGTACATGAACAAAAACTTTCAGGAATGAGCAAAAAAAAAAAAAAAAAAAAATCAGTTCCTTACAGCTTGATGCAGTCATCAGTCCATCTCTGCCGACCCAGCTGGCAACAGAACAGTGCGAATCTTATGCAAATGTCTGTCGGCTTTGTTTCGCGCCCTTCATCCCTTCGCAGAAACCCCTCCCCCTCCCTTCGGTCGGATTTGCGACAGACCGTCGAGACGGAAAGATACGTCACGTTGCGCGAAGTTTACGGTCAAATGACGTTTCACGATTTTCCGCGGAGCGTTTAAGCGCGGGTCCCTGAAATCCGGGTTGCCGCACGTCTCGGATTCTGAGGTTTTTTCAGCGGTGAAAGTGCGTTTTCGAGCATCGAATGGCAACACTGGAGATCTGCGAATTAATCAGCTTATCCGGAGTGTTTCTTGCGAGAGCGCCGAACCACTGGCTAAGTCAAAAATCCACTTAGGAGCTCACTAAAGGCGTTCGGGGTTGAGCCCTAATTGCGGCTTATGACCGGCGGACTAAGGCGAAGTGCAGCCCTTTAATTTGTTATTTGTCATTTCTATGCGGAGATAGGGACTGTCACTTGGCTAGGTTGTCAGTTGGTTAGCAATTTAAAGTACCACAAGGGTGCTAAGCAGAAAACTGCTGTGCTAAGCAAGAACGCCGGAAATCCATCAAGATTTTCCCGCGTTTTTTGGAACTTAAGATTTTTTTAAAATAAAAACTGTTTTACCCATGCACCTCAAATTTTCTAGTTAAGTTCTTGATAGTATTTGCGAAAGAATTCTGTAAAAACATTGTCCCAAGATACACAAGTCTTTCTGCTGTGATACATGTTTCCAAAAAAACTTATATAATTGCGTTTACGGCGTTTTTGCGTTGCACGGCAGAAAAGTCGTAAATCCATCAGGATTTTCCCTCGTTTTTTGGAACTTAAAACTTAATCAAATAAAAACTGTTTTACCAATGCACCTCAAATTTTCAGGTTATGTTCTTGATAGTATTTGCAAAGGAGTTCTGTAAAAACATTGTCTCGAGGTACACGAGGTTTTTTGCTATGATACATTGTTTCCGAAAAATTTAAATTGGCGTTTACGGCGTTTTTGCGTTGCATGGCAGAGCTTCTAATGGGTCCCTCTGGCGCGGCAAGACTGGCTTCACATCGAAGTTTATTCGCATCGCTATGATTGTTGCCTATGCGGCAATATTAAGGCGAAGATACGTGGTTTAACATTTTGGCCGTTATTTATTGTACATTTTTCGCAAGGCAGGAGTGTAAATGGCCTTTCGTTCTAGGCCTCCGCAATTTTCTGCAACGCCCTGGGTTTAAGCAAAAAGGTCAAGAAAGCGCACTGATCAAAATATTGTCAAATTTATAAATGTGTGGCAACGTCACGATATTCTATGTACAGAAGAAAATCTGAAAATCCTCGGACAGGAAAAAAATAGCCTCAACAATTCTAAGGGCACTTCTACAGCAGGGGTGCAGAAAATGCTCGACCACGCGCCCATCAAGGATGGAAAATTTTGAAGGGTCATCAGTCGAAAGTCAACGAAAAACAGGATAAAAAGTCATCTTCCTTCAAATTCGTGGGAAATTTTGTAGAAAATCGATGAAAAAATTGTGAAAAGCCCGCCGCGGACGGGCGCGTGAAAGTGTGGAAGCTTGGAAGATTCTGCATCCCTGCTCTACAGTTCTACTAACTGCACGGTCGCACGACCGAGTACAATTTGCACGCCTGCAATTTTTCGAATAGATAACTATTAGCGCTGCCCGGTATGTTTGTTGCCTAGAGGGAGAAATTGAAGGCGGCCCTTAAGTACGACACATTAAATATGGTCCTGTCTATATGGCCTAGCTTCGAGTTCCTGCCTTCTTAAAAAAATAGAGTAAAGACTCCTGAATTCAATCACAAATTATTTACCCATGATTTTTAAAATCTTTCATAGGAAACCTGCTCTAAGCTAAGTGTTAAGAAATCCGTTTTGAATATTTTTATATTAAGTAATGTGTCTGGTAGGGTTTATGTAAAAAAGTGTTCAGTTTAAACTACTGTATTTTTTGACTTTTTCAACATTTTACTCAACATTTAAAGTTTTGAAACCTGCATTAGACCATCAGTGCACTTTTTTTTACTTAAGTTTTTACTTTGATAAATTTTTCTTTAAAGAATACCCAAACGGTCTTCTATACCTAAAATATAAATTTTTACAGTTTTTTAAGAGTTTCCTTTGTGGAATTTACAAGTCCTTTAAGTTTTTCTAATAGTCGTTGCGACTAAATCATCTTCCCTTTAAGGCTAATAGAGAAAGAAACTCTAACATTTATAGAAATATTCAAAAATGAGAGCAAACTATTGACAAGGTATAACTGAGTAGAAAACTCCGATTTCCGACTGAAATTAAAGAAAAAATTACGCAAGAATGAACTGATGCGGAACTTTTGTCTGGGCTTATGTAACTGCAACTCAGTGGGAGGCTAGGAATTCACCTCAAGAGCAGGTGACACTCAATAAGTATGTGCTTGCAACAAGTCTACCAACACTCAATTGAAATTGCTTTTCAGACTAAGTGGTTGATAAGTTTAAAGTTGCGTATGCAAATTGATATAAAGTTTGACACTTTCTCATGGCATGAAAGAGATAAAGGATGATGACAAGATCACAGAGGAATCAATGAATGAGTAGGTACCTAGGTTTGATTGGAACTTCAAGCTCTCATGCTGTCTTACATATCTTAGTGGGTCTTGAAATTTTTTAGGAAGGTATATACAGGGTGATTCACAAGTTTTGCGCCTTATAACTTTTGAACAAAGCGAGACAGAGACTTGAAATTTTGTGAGTGCCCCAGGGTTAATGAAAGCGACTTCTGGGACCCCTCAAAAAATTGAGAGAATCGACCTGAAAAGGGGTAAGAACCCCAGGGGTTGTAGGGTTGGGGCAGAACTATTGACTCACTCTGTGTGCCAGAGGAAAAATCAATCTGAACTCATCGAAGTTTAACTCTTAATTTAGAGCTCAGTAGGAAGGGAAGGATTTATCTGACAGCTAACTGGTGATATCAGCTGTACATTTCAAAAACTTTTCAGCTATTTTGAGATACATTCTGTAACTTTCTATTGCCCTTATATTGTCGGTTTTGGAGACAGGTTAGTAAGTAATACTGACGGAAAATCCCTGAATTCTTGAAAACTCAAAACAGCTTCCAAAAATTTAACATGGACTTTCTTCAATACAGCATAAAAAAAATCTGATAAGCAATCAAAAGGCAGCCAACTCAAAATATAAACACTGATTAGTGATAAGAGACTTATAATCTACTTGAACCAAACAATGATAAAGAAGGTAAGAGTGCAGGCAAGCCCCTGCTCACCCGCAGCAAAAGGAAATCCGTGAGCTTGTGAGGTAATGTATCCATGAAATTTCTTTTCTCTGGAAATTAAGAATAACACACTGCTTTTTTCGATTTTTTCTCATGACGTACTACAGACGTTTCCTGTACTGAGGAAATTTCCTAGAATAAAAAAATTTGGGGCCGAAATTGTCACTGATTTAAACTGCAAGGAACGTTCAACACCCATGAAATGAATAATGAATGTGAGAAAGGAGTAATTGAATAAAATGCACTCACCACGTCTGCCAAGAGTGCTGCCTCTAGAATGAGGGGCAATAATGCCATTGCGATGTCGCTCGGTCAACAGGAACTGTTCTTCGGGACCTGCGCTGTTGCGGTTGCGCCCTGAGCTGTTTGTGCCGAAAGTACTCATTTCTGGAAAAAAAAAATGACACTTAAAATAGATAATGGAGAGTTAGTATCAACTGAAATGTTAACGCTCTTTGCACAAAAAATTAGCTTGGATGAAACCAGTTGCTATTTTAATGCATACTAAACAAAATTTTAAGAACGTAATATGCAAATGACATCCTTAAATATCGAGTGTAAATGAATTTCATCAATAATAGTACCTATGGGAATTGAGGCAGTTCTTGAGGACTTGGGTGGATCTAATCCTGGTTTAGGTTTTGATAATGAGCTGGGTGATAGAAAATAAAAAGGCATCGGAAAGCAGGAAACTGACTGATAAGAGGAATATAGTTTGATAACTGAAAACAGCTGAAACTGTAAGTAAGACAATGATGACAGTTGATAAGCTATAAAGTATGAAATACGAGGGAAACATTCGAATCTAAATCTGAGAATGACTTCGGGTGACAGGGAACACAACAATGCCTCGACTTCAAAGAAAGTGCGTAGCTCCTTTATCAAAAAGTACGCTCAAATCATGCGCACAGCATCAAACCAGTATCAGAACGTCGACAGGGAGGATACAGATACCTAAACGATGTTTCTGAAGACAGACACCTCCAACACCAAAGCTTAATATGGTTTAATACTTTCGCCTTGTGACTTAATCAGTCGAAGGATATGAACAACAGGTAGAACTGATAACAGCTCTGTCGGCAAGTTAGAGTTATCAAGAAGTACAAACCTCCCAAGAGACAAAATTTTTGATGAGGGTAGGTGAGTCCTCAAATTAGGGGTCCATTCGTATTAACAACTATTTCTAGAAGCGTGTCATTGACCAGGAAAACTTTCTAAAGTATGCATGACACCCACACTCATTCCAATCCTAACCTCAAACTCCCAAACCGTGTAATAATAAAGGCATTTTACCTGACGATTGATGAAAAACGCTGTGATTTAAAACGGGAAACTGTCGAACTTTTGCAAGGAAGGATCGGGCGAGTTTTAATTAACGAACTACCGCGAGCACATGGTTTCGAATCAAACACGCGGCGAGTTATTTATAAACATGCCAAGTCGGTAATCGTATTTACGCTCTGCCGAGAAAGGACAGCGACAGCCACCTGAAGCCGATGCGGCAGCGAGACTCACTGGGCGCCGAAGCACGGGCGTCGCGACGCGCAAGGACGCCCTCCCCCGCACCCGATTCCCCCTCACCGCGCGCGACAAGTAAGTACTACTTTCTGTTCGACTTTTACATCGTTGTCACGTATGACGTAATGTCAAAGCTCATCTTCAGTAGCCTCCGGTATGCGTGTGACGCGTGCTTCTTGAAGATTGACTGAACATCC